TGGTTGGTCTTGTGTGGACGAGACGCACGTCTGGTGTATTGAATTTTAAGCCTAGTACCTTCTGCTAGCTATTATTCGTGTGTTTCTTAGTCCTATATGTTCTCCCATTTATTTGTATTGTGGTCCTGTCATGTGATGTTGTCGTTTTGGTGTTGTGTTTGACGTTGCTATAAAAGCGGGAGGTTTGGCATGCCACAAAACCAGGTTCAACCCACCATTTTTTTCTTAAAATGTCCTGTACCAAGTCAGGAAAATGGCCATTGTTATATTATAGTTCGTTTCTGTGTGTGTTACATTTTAATGTTGTGTTTTTGGTGTGTCGTTGTTCTCCTCTTATATTTGATGCGTTTCCCTCAGTTTTAGTTTGTAACCCGGATTTGTTTTTATCTCTATCGATTTATGAGTTTCGAACAGCGGTATACTACTGTTGCTTTTATCTACCAATCTATGTACTAAGGCCTAAGGTACTTTTGCCCTTTGCATGTATTGCTCAATCTTAAGTTTTCATGCAGTATTTTGTATCCCGTTACTTGTTCTTATCTTTTGGTTATTGTGATATTTGTTTTTCTTCGACCTATGATGGTTATTGATTAGCCCTTTGGCATCTTCTCTACTGTTAAGGCTTGCACATTTCACAGAAAAGTAATATAATACCCCCACTCAAAGGAGGGTGTATACTGGTTTACTTCTGTCTGTTTGTTCTGTAAAAGTTTTGCCACATTTTTCTCAGGAATCACAAATCACAGTTTCCTGAAATTTGGTAACAATCTTCATGTTAGTATTCTATACTGTATAATGCATTTTCACATTGATCGCTCATCCACTTCCTATTTATCTAATACTTATTCCTATAATATGGCCATGCATACAATTTTCATCGCTTATTTTGCTCATGAAATACAATTATTTGGTATCAAGCTTCATGTGAGCATGCTTTACTGTTTACCAAAATCGCTCCCTTTAACAAATACATATAATGGGGGAATCATTAGTGAGCAGTAGATTACAGCTCAACTTGTTGATAGTTGATATTCTGTTAAAAAAACTACGACAAAAGAGATGATTTCAGAGTCCCAATTGTGAACTTTCCATTTCTATGTAGCAACATTCCAGCAGCGCCTGCATACGGAGTATACATCTCCCAATTGATACGATATTCCAGGGCTTGTATTTCCTATCATGATTTCCTTGATAGAGGGTTGCTGCTCACAAGGAAGCTTTTAAACCAAGAGTTCCAAGTGGTGAAGTTGAAGTCATCCCTTCGTAAGTTTTACAGACGCCATCACGAGTTGGTTGACCGTTATGGAATATCTGTTTCAAAGATGATAGCGGATATGTTCCCAATGTCGTAACTACAATCCCGTCCCCCTTTTCCCGAATATGACCTACCGAATTAGACCTATTACCGGGTTTGTACTTACATGAGCAACACGACGGGTGCCACATGTGTAGCAGGATCTGCTTACCCTTCCGGAACACCTGAGATCCTATGTGGTATTGGTTTTACTCATTGTTGAAGTAAGTACGGTGCCTAATAGTTGCTTACATCTACATCATTTGGTCTCTTGTGGATAGTTGTCTGATTGGAAATCATACAACATTTTCTTATTCTTATATAAAATAAAAACAGTGCATTTATTCATTTTATTTTCAATAAGTAGTGTTAAAAATCTAAATTATATAAATACTAAAAACATATATTACATTCTTATTAAAAAGTGAAAAAAAAATATAAAATTTGATGAGAGATTTCTGATGACTAACAAATATATTAAGGAATGATTACAACAATAGTAAATAGCTATAGAGTATTTGTACAATTTCAGTTCTGTATCAGTCTAAATTCAAACATCAATATGTAAATGTGATTTTAAGACTCCAATTCAACAAAACAATTAGTAGAGGAATCATGGTCTTTCAGGTATTATGGGTAATTGAAGATTTTCTTTCAAATTTCAACTATGTTTGCCATGTTTTGTCATTCACATTACTCAATAAAGCTCCCTTCCAGTGTCATGCTGGGTTCTTTTCTCAAACAATAATGATACTATTCTTTTATCGCCGGTAACAACAATGTTATTTATGTAATTTTGAAAGCAAATACAGTTGAAACAGTTTTAACAGGGTTTGAATTAAAGAAAATTCGTCAAAATAGTCACTAGAGGCTAAGTTATCATATTGGCAAGAAGAATGAACACATTATTATAAAACATACATGATTTTTTAGCTGCCTGTTTCTTTATCAATTACAATGCATTTTCAAAAGGCTTTGTCTTTCAAGATACCAATAGGGTAAAATGTAACAAACTTGCAGATTGAATTAATGTTTTCAAACTGATCAACTGGTTAAATATTTAAGCTCATTCATAGTAAAAGGTTGTTAGTATGAAGCAAGTGCAGTGTAAAAAAAAATATTGCTACCATCCTTTTCCATTGATTGACTGTCGTCTGTCTGTTGAAAGACATTGAAATATTTTTTAAACACATATTTATCAGGAACGAGAGCTTAAAAAGTTTTGCATGGATATGAACAGTTTTGTCATAATGACAATTTGTATGCAAATATTTCTTAATATTGTTTTATTGGGCCAAAAGTACTTGCTTCGCTTTCAAACAATGAGTTACTGTTTATTTAATTTCAATATATTTTTCTATAGTAATTAGTGAAGAACTGACTTCCAAGGGAGATAATTTTACTTAATGTTACACACAACCTATATTATGTGCCTTTAATTTATGTGTTTTCAATAAATAATTTTACAAATTATTCACTCTTCTAACAAACAAATTTAAATGTCATCAGTACACATAATATTAAGTTACCGTAAAAACAATGTTTATAATAAATTACTTATGAGCTGTTTATAACTAGGTGCTGTAAATTGCAACTACATTCTCAAGTTGTCAAAAATTGTATAAGAATATTTTTTATAACACTGCAATTGCTTCATACTATTAATATCTTCATTAGGAATGGCTATTTTTTTTCACCTGTTGATAAGTATAAAAAGACAAATTCCAACTGCAACTCGGTAAAACAATTTGGCTGAATTGTATTATAAAAGGACAAAAATATACAGTGAATGAATGTAAAGATTGATGTTACATAAATAATTAATTTCTAAAAACTACATAATGATAATTTCATTCTGTGAATATAGAATTCATCTCAAATTTGTTAAATAGGATGAGAAGTAACCCCTGGTGAGGCTTATTTATCGGTCACTTTGTTCTGTTAAAGGTTGCACATTCAAAATGTAAAAAAAAGTCTTTCCATTCTTATTCATTTTGATATTCAAAAACAAATTTCCATTGTATTATTTTGATTTAATATATGTATGTACATGCAATGTTTGAACAATGTTGATGAAAATCAGTGTAAGTAATGTATATTGTACATAAATCATGGTCCATGCAAATTTTGTCCATAAACTATAAAAACTTGATAATACTAGGTTAATAAGAATCATCTGTCAAACAGTATTTATTCAATCATAGCTTCTTAGATTTGTAATACACCATAGATAAAATTATCTACGATTTCATAGCTTACTGATTTTATAAATCTTACTACATTTATAATAACAATTACAAACGAAAGTGAACCAACGCCTGGTGAGTCTGTAGTGAGTTAGAGTCCCTGAAGTGGATACCTCGGGTATGCAGGGTCGTTATGATGAAACACAATAATGTAGAAAGTCTTATAACAACAACACTGGAGGGACTGCTGCAGAAAATTTATTGATCGACATGTTTCGGTGCCTAGGGCACCGTCATCAGGATACAAATAATACATTGAACATACTTAAGTGTACAATCGGGTTGTCTTGTGACAACGTCATAGTATAGTAGTTGTTATGAAAGGGAAGTAATAGTGAAAGTATAAATAGAAAATGTATATAAATAGATTGTCAACATGAAAATGAAAGTAAATTAAAATTGCGGAAAGAATTGCTATCTCTGTAGATTAATGAAAACCGCAGAAAGTGCAAAAAGTACCGTAAACAGTTACCAAATAGATATTAAACACGAAATTACATGCAACACAGAAAGTGTGGTGTATTTAATAGAATGCAAACAATGCAAAAAACAATACATTGGTCAAACGGGAAATAGCCTAAAAGAAAGATTCAGGGGACATCTACAGGACATCAACACTGAGAATAATACAAAACCAGTCTCGAAACACTTCACCTCAAATGGTCACAATAAACACGACGTCACCATAACAGGCATAACAACCACAGAACAAAACATAAACGTCAGACTAAGAACGGAAGAAGCTCTTATACATAAATTTGGAAGCACCGAACCCTGGGGCCTTAACAGACAATATGGCTAATACGAAGATTACCAAAAGAAAAGAAACTACAGGAACTTTCACAAGACGATTTAATTGCAAAAAATGCCCGAAAACTTTCTGCAGTATTTCTACTTTACGAAGACACCATAAGGAACGCCACGAACCAGTCGCAACAATGTTTGAATGCAAACATTGTGTTGCAACCTTCACTAGAAAATCAAATGCCGTAACACACCTTAAATCAAAACACCCAGATAAAGCCAGAGAAGATTATAATAGCTTCCAACAAAATCCTCGTGAAATGGCCAAAGCAATAGAAAAATGGAGACCACCATTTGAAGCCGTACAGAAAAAAGAATGGAACGGGAAAACACCTACATTCAGGACAATACCAGCTAAATCACCGTATGAGTATCACCAATCATCCACCTCAAAACCGAAAAAACCCTCAACAAGTGATTTGGAACAAGACCTGTACCTGTCGGATTCCGACTCTTCTTTAAATAACACTCCGCAATACATAACAAACGATTACGGTTATGTCATGGACCTTACTCAGGAAGACTACATAGACCTGACAACAAGCAGCAGTGATGAAACCATATGTTTAGATGAGCTACCGGAAGAACTATGGGACAGACATGTGTTTGTACATTCTATTTATAACATTTTTAGCTGAGACAATAATAACACAGAGTTGATATACAAACAATTTTAATTTACTTTCATTTTCATGTTGACAATCTATTTATATACATTTTCTATTTATACTTTCACTATTACTTCCCTTTCATAACAACTACTATACTATGACGTTGTCACAAGACAACCCGATTGTACACTTAAGTATGTTCAATGTATTATTTGTATCCTGATGACGGTGCCCTAGGCACCGAAACATGTCGATCAATAAATTTTCTGCAGCAGTCCCTCCAGTGTTGTTGTTATAAGACTTTCTACATTTATAATAACAAAACAAACAAAAACATTTATCAATAAGTACAATTAAACTTCAATAAAAAAAAGAATCAGATTGTTATGACAAAATAAAAGACAAATGAACTTAGATTTTATGTTGACCCTTTCCTCCAAAATGATGCCTACCCCTTTCCTTTTCTCTATAATGACACATTTTGACGACCTCCCCTGTTCTCCATAATGACACCTTTTGAAGCCTCTATGTGGTACCTCAATTGAAGTATATTGTCTTCAAAAATCTGTTTTAGAATTCATCAAATTTGTATCAACTCTAATTATGTAAATTCTAATATGATGTTCTTCAAACGCTTTGAGTACACACCAGTGGTAAAATATGAATATATTGCACGTCAGCTAATCGGCAACATCATGATTTGATTGGGCTGTTCTGTCATACTCGCACGTCGTATGCTTTTTATGAATGAGTTACCTGAGGTCAGTCGGTGTAAATGACGTCACTGAACGATGAGGTAAAACTATAAGCATTCCATCCTTATACGCGAAAATGCACAAATGTGACACTGAAAGTCATGTAAAACTTAATAAGTCATTGAAAGCATTAAAAGGTCAGAGTAAGTTACTTTTCTTGGATGCTGCAATACTCCCTGAAAGGCACCCTCTCACCAATTAATATGAATTAAGGTAATTTTGTACCCGAGGTCTGAGCTCTTATTCAAAACTTAATAGAAGCCAATAAATTGTAAAATATTTATTTCAGAAAGACAATCATTTTGTAGAGAGCTATACATCTTAACATGCGTCATTATGTCAAGTTATATGATTTGAGTTCTTGTAGATCTGAGATCTTAACTCTAATGGTCCAGGAAATCTTAATCTATGTAAATAAAGGGTAAACATACCTCAATTAGGCAAAGAAATCAAAGAATGATCACTTCCTAAAATGAATATATAAAATAGACGTTGTTTGTTTTAAAAAAAGTCTATTTAGATCAGGATATTAGTGGGAAATAATTATTAGATATTGTATTGTTAATGTATGTAAAAAAGTATACAAAACAGTAAAAAAAGTCATGAAAAATGAGAAAAAAATTTTAGAATATTTCCGTATGTGTATTTTCCTTCCAAGATAATAAAAACATGATTGCCGGGCATGTTTTGTATTTCATAGGAAACTTTCTTACAATATAATAATTAGAAGAAAATTATATTATAGGAAACATTGACACTGAGATTTATATGTTGGTCAGGGGAGACAAGGGACAAATTAATATTCATTTAACACAGAGGCCAAATTGGAAAACTAATTAAATACGTCCTTTAACAAAATCTGCACATCATCATATTAAAAAGTTTGTATGGATAAAAAAATATAACACTGAGTGAAATTGTGACATCAGATGATGATCTGATTTCTGATTAATTATTTATAAATGGACAATACATCACATATAAGGTGGAGTATATAAGTATAATATATAATGTATGACAAACAAATAAACTAAAATAAAAAAAAAACCAAAGAATTCCCCATCTGATTGATGTGAAATATATATGTGAAAATGGATGATGTAAAAAATCTTGGTTTTAAAAGTAGTATCTCAACATTCTAATAGTTATCAACCAAATTTCAATTGATTTCCACACTTATTACAACTTTTTGTAAAACAGACACTTTAACATGATAATTTTAAAACAGTTAACATTCTCTGCCATACATAAGTTAGTATACATGTATTGTATTAAACAATTAAAGTTATATTTGCAATAAGACTATATTTCTTGATACAACATAAATGCCCTCATCAGCAACAATTAAGATAATACAAAGACAAATATATAGTGTCTTAATACTTAACCTGTAACAAATCATTTAGATAATGACTTGATATCACAATAATATGAAATCATTGTATTTTTCTGTCAGTCAGTCCACTTCTACAAGTCAGAATCAAATGTAGATCCAACTTAAATTTTATAATCCGATTCACCATTATCTGTATAAGCAAGACCAACTTTACTTGAATATGAGAGAACTGCATTAAAAGGTTCAGCAAACAATACCTATCTTTTCAATTTATAAATGCTTTGAAGATATCTTTTCCCTCTATATAAAAAGGCAAGCACACAGGCCAATTTGTATTGACTTTGTTTCAATGTATGTTTTCTCTCTATTTATGAAAATGATGGTCTTTTGAACTACAGCTGTAAATATCATTAACATTTTTATGGATCTTAATGTAAAAACATTTATCAAATAATTCATTTAAAGTGACTGGTGTAACATGACATCCAGGAAGACAATGAAACAGAAGAAGACAAGAGATCAAAATGTTGGAAAATTGCTTTTACACCATAATACTTTACTATTTTCTTATTTAAAGGATAAAAACTTGAATAACCATCAATAATCATCTCTAAAGACACACTATAATTTTGCCTATTTTATAACATATCAAAAGTTGAATACACTCATGAGTACTTTCTCTTTAAGTGACCCTCTGTTATTTTCAATCCATCCTCTTAGCTTGTGTTGGCTCCTAAAATCAAAAATAAACAATACATAAAAATATGAATAAAAAAGCTTTGTAGGGTTACAATTAATAAGACAGTGACCCAACAACAAAATTAGAAGGAAAAGATTAAAAAAAATACAAATAGCATAAATACAAAATTTTGATCTGTACCTTACAATAATCATTACAGTAATAATGAAAGCAAATTAAAATTAAAAACTAATTGTTTAAAGAACAAAACTAATCGTTCAAAGATTAATAATAGGTCATTCCACCTATCTCATATTTACTTGAAAAAAATAAATAAGGAAGAAAACGCCAACTTTTAGTGTCAGGAGAAAGCTTATCTAACACTAATTCCAATAAAATGCTCCGCTGGGCGCAGCTTGATACGACCGCAGAGGTCGAACCATGAACAGTTGGGGCAAGTATGGACACAACATTCAAGCTTGATACAGCACTGAATTTGGATTGTGATTAAATATTTGACACAGCACAGGTTTCTGACACAGAATGAATGTGGTCTAAGAACTAAAAAATTTTTAATTTACCTATTCAAACCATATCATTATTATTTGCTTTTATATATAAATCAGAAATAACCAATTTAAAATGGAAAATTTTAAAGAAAAAAAATCCCCCTACCCCACCAAATTTTTTGAACCCCCTTATGATTCATCACCCCCAAACTCAATCCCAGCCTTCCCTTTGTGGTATGGTACCTGCAGTACAATTTCAGAGAGATCCATACACTTGAACACAAGTTATTGTCTGGAAACTAGAAAAATGCTTGTTTTTTGGCCCCAAATTCCTAAACGTTTGTGCCAATTACCCCCAAACTCATACCCAGCATTCCCTTTGTGATATGGAACCTTGTAGTACAATTTCATAAAGATCCATACACTTACACACAAGTTATTGTCCTGAAACTAGAAAAATGCTTGTTTTTTGCCCGTTATTCCTACAATTTTGAGGCAATTACCCCCAAAATCAATCCCAGCCTTTCCTTTGTGGTATGGTACCTTACAGTACAATTTCAGAGAGATCCATACACTTGAACACAAGTTATTGTCTTGAAACTACAAAAATGCTTATTTTTGGCCCCTTATTCCTAAACGTTTTGGGCAATTGCCCCCAAACTTAATTCCAGCTTTTCCTTTGTAATATGGAACCTTGTAGTACAATTTCAGAAAGATCCATACACTTACACACAAGTTATTGTCATGAAACTAGAAAAATGCTTGTTTTTTGCCCCTAATTCCTAATATTTTGAAGCAATTACCCCCAAAATCAATCCCAGCATTCCCTGTGTGATATTGAACCTTGTGGTACAATGTCAGAGAGATCCATACACTAACACACAAGTTATGTCTGGAAGTTACAAAAATGCTTATTTTTTTGCCCCTTTTTGGCCCCCAATTCCTTAACTATTGGTACCATAACCCCCAAAATCAATCCCAACCTTTCTTTTGTGGTATTGAACCTTATGGTAAAATTTCATAGAGATCCATTCACTTAAACTAAAGTTACAGTGCGAAAACCAATGTGTCTTCGGATGATGACGACAACGAGGACGACGCCAGCGTCATACCAATATACGATGGTCGTATAAAAATACATAGAAACATCTGGTACATTCCCCCTAAAAGAGGGAGTTAATTAACAACTTCCAATTCAATCAAAACCACTACCAGCCTCAAATAATAGCTTACTTTGCATTGATTCCAAAAATATATGGTTAAATAATAATTTACAAGGTTCTCACAGGGATTTTTTTATGATGAGTCCCAAATATTTTTTATGAGTCAAGGATTCAAGTGTCATATATGAAATACAACTCAAACGATGTGTGTTTAATTCAAATCTATATTTATTTTATATCTATTTTATATCAATAAAATATATAAGCTCTGTTTAGTTCTTATTCATTACAATACACATAGAAGCACTACAGTTGATATAAAACATAGAAAAGACACATAAAAAGGCACAACAGATAGTATATAATACTAAATACTCTATAGAAGTTTTGACAAAACACTACAATTCATTTTTAAGCTACATTAACACTCAATTCACTTTCATAAAGTAATTTACAACATAGCAAGTGTTCATAATGAATGTCTACCACACTTCTGTTTCTTTTCTCAGGGAACTTGGTTACTGAAGAGCCAGGGTTTGAAATCTGGTAGGGGTGGCCCATCTTGTTGCACTCTCATTAGTTTGGTGACAGTCTCTGGGTCTGATTCTGGTCTTGATTCTGTTTTCACAAGAAAAAACCTTCTCACTAGTCACTGGGAAAATATTAAAGTAGTAGCTTGTAGAGTACTGCATTGTCAGGATAATCAGCTAAGAAGTTGTTGAGTAATCAAGTTCCCATTTGTTGTATACTGAATGACTTCTGTTGCCGTTGTAGAAGTTTCAGTTCTTGGTAGTTATTTGTAGCTCTGTTAACATCTATTCGTAGGTGGTCCTTGAAGTGAGACAATACTTAGGTAAGTGTATCTTCTCCGTATGTCAGAATAAGCTAGCTGGCATGTGTGCTGGATTCAGTAGCTGATTGAGTGTCTCTAGGTGGCTAAGTAATTCCGGTTCAAACTGTTGTTGCAAGTTGGTGTTGATGTTGGTAAGATAAGCTGTTGCTGAATTTTGGTACTGCATATGATAAGTCTCGTTGTCATTGAGTGGTAGATCTTTGTACTTTGAATTGGTGATGGCAGTGTAAAGATCAGTTAGAGTTGGCCCATCTTTCTGTTTATAGAAGTCCTGGCGCTCTTGTGTTGAATATGCTAGTGAGATACCAGCAGATACATCTATGTTGTCTCTCTGAAAGATGAGGAATGCTGTAGTCATTAGGAATGTGACTGTCTTGATGTTCTGCAATAAGCCTTTAACATCGGGTGAGTCTTTGCCTGCTGCCAAGGATTCAAGTGTTGGGTAGGATGCAAATATGGCGTCAACTGCTGCCCCTTGTGATAACCAATGGAAACTTCCAGGTTGCTTTAGTGATAGGGTCTTGATGTTGTCACAAGTGTCAAGAAGATTTTGTAGTTTGCGTAGCTTGTTGTACTGTACTGCCTATATGTTGACGAATTTGAAGATCTGTTTGAGTATAAATTGGTATTCTTCAAAGTACTGTGCATCTCTTAGTCTACATGCTGCAAGGGCAACTCAGTTAAATAGGCAAATTTTCGAAAATTTTCAAAAATCAAAATACATTTTCCTAGTATTGCCACGATGCTCATCATATTTTTCATTCAGTACTTTACAATAAAAATAACTTTTCTATAGATTAATTACCAAATATGAAAAATAATTCAACTTCAAGTATCACTTCAAAATCATAATCACTTTATAACCAGAGTAGCTTTAAAATTTCCATGATCACTTTACAACCAGCATAGCATTAAAATTTCCTTCATAATATACTTATTAGATGAGTCCCACTTTGAAAATCAAGATTTCTATGTTCTACAATCAGTCACTCCTTCATCTTTGATTTTTCTTTCTGAATTCAGAGATGTATGGACAATCAGATGGTTGATAAATTTGCATCATACAAAAAACCACCAGCTATGAATGATGTTAACCCCGATTATGACCACTGTTAATATTGGTCTAGCCAAAATGTTGATTGCCCCCTTGCTAAACTTTTGAATGAAATAAGAGAGATCATTTGCTACTTCTGGTTTACAAGATGTCAATTTGGGTTTTTAAGGGGAGAAAACTTATGAAAAGTCACCACAGCAATTTACCCAAAGTGTATTGAAGTTGCCACATGGAGTAACCAATAATTTGACTAAAGCCTTTTTATCAATTCCCTTCTGTAAAGTAGTGTTAAGAGCAAAGTTCAAAATTAGAAAACGACATTGACCTCAATTTCCCGGTAATGGGCCAAGGATATTTAGATGTCTAGGACTTACTGTTTATGAAATACACAGACATAACAAATGTCAAATGTGAACAAGAATGTGTCCATAGTACACGGATGCCCAACTTGCACGTTCATTTTCTATGTTCAGTGGACCGTGAAATTGGGATCAAAACTCTAATTTGGCATTAAAATTAGAAAGATCATATCATAGGGAACATGTGTACTAAGTTTCAAGTTCATTGGACTTCAGCTTCATTAAAAACTACCTTGACCAAAAACTTTCACATGAAAACTTTAACCTGAAGCGGGACAGACAGACGAACGGATGGACGAACAAATGAACGAACGGACGAACAAACAAACAGACGCACAGACAGAAAAACATTATGCCCCTTTTGAAATAACTTTTATTAGATGATACTGGATAGCTTTGGTCAAAATTGATTTAATAATTCTGAGGATGTAACAAACAATTTGGACAAAAAAGTAAATTGATATATCTTTGACGGTTTCAGTTTGCAATAACAAGATAAAATGCTCCGCTGGGCGCAGCTTGATACGACCGCAGAGGTCGAACCCTGAACAGTTGGGGCAAGTATGGACACAACATTCAAGCTTGATACAGCACTGAATTTGGATTGTGATTTAATATTTGACACAGCATAGGTTTCTGACACAGAATGAATGTGGTCTTAGAACTTAAAAATTTTTAATTTACCTATTCAAACCATATAATTATTATTTGCTTTTATATATAAATCAGAAATAACCAATTTAAAATAGAAAATTTTAAAGAAAAAAAAAAGGAAATAAAAATCCCTCCCCCAAATTTTTTGAACCCCCTTATGATTCATCACCCCCAAACTCAATCCCAGCCTTCCCTTTGTGGTATGGTACCTTGCAGTACAATTTCAGAGAGATCCATACACTTGAACACAAGTTATTGTCTGGAAACTAGAAAAATGCTTGTTTTTAGGCCCCAAATTCCTACAGGTTTAGGGCAATTACCCCCAAACTCAAACCCAGCTTTCCCTTTGTGATATGGAACCTTGTAGTACAATTTCAGAAAGATCCATACACTTACACACAAGTTATTGTCATGAAACTAGAAAAATGCTTGTTTTTGCCCCTTTTTGGCCCCTAATTCCTAAAATTTTGAGGCAATTACCCCCAAAATTAATCCAAGCCTTCCCTTTGTGGTATGGTACCTTGCAGTACAATTTCAGAGATATCCATACACTTGAACACAAGTTATTGTCTGGAAACTAGAAAAATGCTTATTTTTGGCCCCTTATTCCTAAACATTTTGGGCAATTACCCCAAAACTAAATTCCAGCTTTCCCTTTGTAATATGGAACCTTGTAGTACAATTTCAGAAAGATCAATACACTTACACACAAATTATTGTCATAAAACTAGATAAATACTTGTTTTTTGCCCCTTTTTTGGCCCCTTATTCCTAAAAATGTGAGGCAATTACCCCCAAAATCAATTCCAGCATTCCCTTTGCGATATGGAACCTTGTGGTACAATGTCAGAGAGATCCATACACTAACACACAAGTTATGTCTGGAAGTTACAAAAATGCTTATTTTTGGCCCAATTTTGGCATCTAATTCCTTAACTGTTGGTACCATAACTCCCAAAATCAATCCCAACCTTCCTTTTGTGGTATTGAACCTTCTGGTAAAATTTCATAGAGATCCATTCACTTAAACTAAAGTTAGAGTGCGAAAACAAATGTGTCTTTGGACGACGATGACGCCAACATCATACCAATACATGACCGCAAAATTTGTTTGCGGCCGTATAAAAACCAGTGTAAAGGGATATAACTCATATAGAGTTCGGTAACCAAGAGTAAATGGTTAAGCCCCAATCACTGTACAATATCATGTTCTTAAATTTTTTCTCCTATATGCTATGAAACCAAAGAAATTCTCCACATCAAAATGAGGCGATAGAATAAAAAAAATTAAAGTGGTTTCATTAAGCAGCACTGAATTGACTGGGAGCAAATTGTCTAAACAGCACAACAAAAGTTATCTGAAAAATAAAGTGAAGTCATAACGAGATAACAATTTAAGTTTCAGACATTTCAGATGATGATAAGATCAGAATAACCTTTTAAGACTAAAATTATTTACTTGTGCTTCTTCGTGATGAAGGAAAGCAGGGTTTTCACTGAAAATACTGCAAACGAAAATACAATTTCACCTGAAGCTTGCACAATTGAATCTGAGATTGTTTTATCCAAATTGATTCTTAGTAAGTATGACTTTGCCCTTAGACCAAGTGACTTCAAAATCAATCTTCCTCTTTATTCTCAAAATATATGTGACCACATATCCAAGCAAGGTAGCAATCCCAAATAATACATCTTAAACCGTGTTTCAAATTTAAGTCTTGTCTTAGTTACTTTGACCTTGGCCTTAAGAGACTTAGACATACTGATGTCAAAATCAATATAGATAGAACTCTCATTTAATGTGATCATATTCCCCGGTAAAGATGCAATCCCATTTGTCTAGCTTTTGATTTAGGAGCCAGCAACCACTTTTCTGCACAAATTTCTGTCTATCTTTATAGTAACTATGACTTTGACCTTAGATATTGCAAAGTGACATCAGAATCAGTATGGATCCACCTCATATTATATGCGACAATATATCCAAGTTATACATCTAATCCCATATGTGGTATTTAAATTAGAATCTTGAAATCATTTTTTGCACAAAGGAGTTGATTCACTAACTCACAATTTTGGCCCTAAAAATCTGAAAATTTTAAACTTCGATAATGTTGTGAAAATTTGATGAAAACGTATATTACAATGTTAAATTATTTCTGTTAAAAAGATTTTCACCAATAGTGTCATTAGTGATGTGTTTGTGACATCATAATGTACCTAAATGTCATCAAAACCTGATTTTTGCATAATTTGGCAAAGTTTATGACAGTTTTCTGTAAAAATTTATAGTGGCACAACCCCTCGCACACAAAGTTTTTTGCTAAAATATTTTTTAAATATTATATTCTTTCCTTTTCACCCAAAATTTCAATGGGCAAGGGTGGCGCAACATATAAATTCATGAAAAAAAGGTGATAAATTTCTAGAAAAAAAATATTTATAATATATGAAGCAGATATACACTTTTTCTTATTATACTTTGAAAAACAATACATTCAGCAATACATACATTTTATATTTACCCAAACAATTGAAGTTTTTAAAATACCGTAAATTGGGAAACTTTGGTGTCATGATAGTTTGGCTGTTTTCTCTCGAAAGGCATGTGTTTTATTTTGGTGTGTGTAATTTTTGTGCTTCGTCCAATTGATATATTTAATTTTGGAACAACAGTAGTGAGCAAGCTCATTCATATTTGCCTTTATATTACCGTTTATTGACAAAATATCATTGAATTTCTCAAACTAGAAACACAACAAAGTTAACTTAATGAAGGAATTGGATACGGATGCAATTGCAAATAATTCTGTATATCGTGGTTCAAAGCTGAAAGAAAATATGAAATAAAATATCAAACATTAAAATCACTTTTTAAATAGATTATTTATTTTTTACAAATATCATATGCAATAAATTTTATTCATCTCTGTTGCAGTACTGTTAATCTATTGACGATCAAGGATTTAAATTTTAATCCTTATGCCTCTGGCAGTACATGTTAATTAATTGAAGATAAAAGATTACAAAGAGTTTTGATATTCTAATTACCAATAATGGTGTCTAATCACCAATAGCCTGGCATATTTATGACATGTGTGAAAAAAATTCATATATGTTTTCTTAACCATTTCTGAAAATTGGCAATTAAGTAAAAAAAAACTGCTTCGCCGAGCCCAGCTGGATACGACCGCAGAGGTCCAACCCTGAACAATTGGGGCAAAAATGGACACAATATTCAAGCTTGATACAGGTCTGAATTTGGATTGTAATTAAATAGTTGACACATTATAGGTTTCTGACACAGAATAAATGTAGTCAAAGAACTTGAAATTGGTTGTATGATTTGAATTTATATTCAATTGAAGATTTCTTGCTATTGTGCAATACATTGTGCTGCTGTAAATCTGTTTTCAGACGATATACAAAGAATAAGCAAAATAAATTGTGACCCAAAATTTTTTTCTTTAGAAAAATTGACAATTTCTTAAATCTTGAGGAAAAAAAATGCCCCCCCCCCCCCCCCCCCCCCCCCCACACACTTTTTCATAAAAAAAAAATTTTGAAGAAATTTTCTTTTTGTAAAATGCATGTGGAACAAATTAAGAGACATCCATACACTTAAACACAAATTATTGTCTGAAAACTAGAAAAATGCTTGTTTCAGACCCTTTTTGGCCCCTAATTCCTGAACCGTTTGGGCAATTTATAATATAAAATATTTTCTCTGACAATTAACATTAAGATATTGTCGTACCGGTACGTGTTTTTGGCGTTTCAATTTTTAGTGTTTGCTTTATTTTCGTGTGTTTAATTTTGGCACTTTCATTGGAGGCACCAAATAAACCAAAATAAAACTACAACCAAAATAACCCAATTTACGATACGTTTACAGGGCCTTTTTGGGGGGTTACTGGCTCTACTCCTTTTGGTCTATTTTTTTTTGTCACTATGAGGTTGATCTCAAAATCAATTGGGATCTTCCTCTCATTATGTTTGACCATATAATATAATCTGTTGCAATCTTGTTTAAATTATTTGAGTAAGCATCCTTGAAACAAAAATGACTAACGGACTGACTGATGGACATACAGACGTACTGACAAGACTTGTCAAAAACTATATGCCAGGCCTTTCTGTGAAGCAAGGGGTATAAAATCATATTCTAATACAGTGTCTCCTGATTAAAATTTTCATATACAGCTTAAATCTGTTTTCACCTTTTCCCCCTGGCCTCCAGAATGTTCTTCTCTTTAACTTGAGTCATAATTTTATTCATAGTCTAAAACATTTTTTATCTGTTTTCCTTTGTAAAAAATTGTTAGAAAAACCCAATTGCTCATGGAATACTGAAGGCTGTCTGACCACCCATTTGCCCCCAACTAAAATCAATTATGAAACAGTCCCTAGCTTATTGGCTTATTTTGTGGAGTACTTTTATAAAATTTCCCAGCCTTCTCTCAAGATAATATCAAACTTACCATCATTATTAGCTGTAGGTTCTACAAAATTTTCACCATCAAATATCATTCTTTTTTTAAGCCCGTATAGACCTAAGACCATATAGTGGCAGCCTGGTGTCAAACCATCTTCACATCTTACAAACTTTTTATTAATCTTTCTTGTAGGAAGATCATCACACTGAGAGGTATTTTGGTCATTTGTGTGGTCAATCATGTTTTGTTCTTTAATATCTAACATCATTTCTTCTTCTGTATTTTGAGATGTCTTCAATGATTCTGTAAATTTCATTTTATGTCAACATCATGGCTAAGTGAAATATGACAAGGATAAACAATAGTATACAAGAAAAAAAGGTAATTAATAAATACAGATCTGATAGTGACATATTTCACACTGTTTAGCTGACCAATAGAATGTTTGTTAACAATAATCAAAAAGTTTTGACTTGTAGTTTCTGAAAAATTACAACAAAAAATATGTTATTCTTATATATGCATCAATATAAAGAATATCAATGTATGTGGCAAAAAGATTTTGCTTTGATCGATTGGTTCATCGATTGCTGGTGTTAAATGCCACTTTTCAGCAATGTTGGCTATGTTGTGGCCACCAAATTTAATTGGTGGAGGAAGCTGAAGTGCCAAGAGAGAACCACTGTCCTTTGGCAGGAAAACTGGCAATCCTACCTTATTAAGATTGGAGTCTAACACAAGTGTGATGTTCGAACTCACAACCTCAGTGTTGACAGGCTAGCTAGTGATACAGTAGATAAACTATGTAGACCTCTCGGCCACCATGCCCCCAGGTGTGAGGCTCAAACTCACGACCTCAGTGTTGACAGTCTAGTGATACAGTAGATAAACTATGTAGACTGCTCGGCCACCGTGCCCCTAGGTTTGAGGCTCAAACTCACAACCTCAGTGTTGACAGGCTAGTGATACAGTAGATAAAATATGTAGACCTCTCGGCCACCTTGCCCCCAAGTGTGGGGTTCAAACTCACAAACTCAGTGCTGACAGGCTAGTGATACAGTAGATAAACTAAGTAGACCTCTCGGCCACTGTGCCCCCAAGTGTGGGGTTCAAACTCACAAACTCAGTGCTGACAGGCTAGTGATACAGTAGATAAACTAAGTACACCTCTCGGCCGCTGTGCCCCCAAGTGTGGGGTTCAAACTCACAAACTCAGTGTTGACAGGCTAGTGATACTGTAGATAAACTATGTAGACCTCTCGGCCACCATGCCCCCAAGTGTGGGGTTCAAACTCACAAACTCAGTGCTGACAGGCTAGTGATACAGTAGATAAACTATGTAGACCTCTCGGCCACCGTGCCCCCAAGTGTGGGGTTCAAACTCACAAACTCAGTGCTGACAGGCTAGTGATACTGTAGATAAACTATGTAGACCTCTCGGCCACTGTGCCCCAAAGTGTCGGGTTCAAACTCACAAACTCAGTGCTGACAGGCTAGTGATACTGTAGATAAACTATGTAGACCTCTCGGCCACTGTGCCCCCAAGTGTGGTGTTCAAACTCACAAACTCAGTGTTGACAGGCTAGTGATACTGTAGATAAACTATGTAGACCTCTCGGCCACCATGCCCCCAAGTGTGGGGTTCAAACTCACAAACTCAGTGCTGACAGGCTAGTGATACAGTAGATAAACTATGAAGACCTCTCGGCCACCGTGCCCCCCAGTGAGGGGTTAAAACTCACAAACTCAGTGCTGACAGGCTAGTGATACAGTAGATAAACTATGTAGACCTCTCGGCCACCGTGCCCCCAAGTGTTGGGTTCAAACTCACAAACTCAGTGCTGACAGGCTAGTGATACTGTAGATAAACTATGTAGACCTCTCGGCCACTGTGCCCCCAAGTGTCGGGTTCAAACTCACAAACTCAGTGCTGACAGGCTAGTGATACTGTAGATAAACTATGTAGACCTCTCGGCCACCGTGCCCCCAAGTGTGGTGTTCAAACTCACAAACTCAGTGTTGACAGGCTAGTGATACTGTAGATAAACTATGTAGACCTCTCGACCTCCGTGCCCCCAAGTGTGGGGTTCAAACTCACAACCTCAGTGTTGACAGGCTAGTGATACAGTAGATAAACTATGTAGACCTCTCGGCCACCATGCCCCTAGGTGTGAGGCTCAAACCCACAACCTCAGTGTTGACAGGCTAGTGATACAGTAGATAAACTATGTAGACTGCTCGGCCACCGTGCCCCTAGATGTGAGGCTCAAACTCACAACCTCAGTGTTGACAGGCTAGTGATACAGTAGATAAACTATGTAGATATCTTGGCCTCCGTGCCCCTAGGTGTGAGGCTCAAACTCACAACATCAGTGTTGACAGGCTAGTGATACAGTAGATAAACTATGTAGACCTCTCTGCCTCCATGCTCCTAGGTGTGAGGCTCAAACTCACAACCTCAGTGTTGACAGGCTAGTGATACAGTAGATAAACTATGTAGACTGCTCGGCCACCGTGCCACTAGGTGTGAGGCTCAAACTCACAACCTCAGTGTTGACAGGCTAGTGATACAGTAGATACTATGTAGATCTCTCGGCCACTGTGCCCCTAGGTGTGAGGCTCAAACTCACAACCTCAGTGTTGACAGGCTAGTGATACAGTTGATAAACTATGTAGACCTCTCGGCCACCGTGCCCCCAAGTGTGGGGTTCAAACTCACAAACTCAGTGTTGACAGGCTAGTGATACAGTAGATAAACTACTTAGACCTCTTGGCCACTGTGCCCCCAGGTGTGAGGCTCAAACTCACAACCTCAGTGTTGACAGGCTAGTGATACTGTAGATAAACTATGTAGAACTCTCGGCCACTGTGCCCCCAGGTGTGAGGCTCAAACTCACAAACTCAGTGTTGACAGGCTAGTGATACAGTAGATAAACTATGAAGAACTCTTGGCCACCATGTCCCCAGGTGTGAGGCTCAAACTCACAAACTCAGTGTTGACAGGCTAGTGATAATGTAGATAAACTATGTAGACCTCTTGGCAACCGTGCCCCAAAGTGTGAGGCTCAAACTCACAACCTCAGTGTTGACAGGCTAGTGATACAGTAGATAAACTATGTAGACCTCTTGGCCACCATGCCCCCAAGTGTGGGGTTCAAACTCACAAACTCAGTGTTGACAGGCTAGTGATAATGTAGATAAACTATGTAGACCTCTCAGCAACCGTGCCCCAAAGTGTGAGGCTCAAACTCACAACCTCAGTGTTGACAGGCTAGTGATACAGTAGATAAACTATGTAGACCTCTCAGCCACCAAGGCCCCCTTTTTGCTTTGAAGTGAAAAATAATTTGGTTTTAAACAATATAGAAGCAGACAGCAGAAAAGAAAATAAGTAAATTGAATTATCAAAATAGATTTCCACTTCAAAATTTCGACCACACTTTTCTATTTTCATCCTGATGAATACCTTCTGTAAGGTGACATCAACAATAAGTTGATGTTGCAGGTAGGCCACCTTGTATTACTTCATACACTGCATAGATTTTTGACACTATCACATGACTTTTGTGTGTTAAATGAAATTGAACACAAAAAAGGACTATCTCAGAACTAAAGTCTAATTTGTGGATGCTGATAAAAATGCAACAAAAATTTTAATGCAAAGAAACATGTATTTGGATAAACAGAAGTAGATAAGTGACAGATTTGAAAATGACACATTTCACACTGTTAAGCCTACAAACAGAATGTTTGTTAACAATAATCAAACTGTTTTGAATTGTAGTTTCTGAAAAATTACAACAAAAGAAGCTGATATTCTTATATGTGCACCACTATAAAAAAAGAATCCATGTATGTGGCAAACTGGAAGTAAAAAAGTGACAGATGAGAAAATATTTCTCTTGGTATCGGTTACCAATATTAAACTTAGTGTAGATATCAAGGAGCTCTGATTTGTATTTGCTGAGAAAAATGCAATGCAAATAAAACGTCACTAGCAATAACATATTTTTTAACAAAAATGTTAATTTTAAGTAAACATTCCTGAGCTTTTATATGATATTTACCTGCATTCTATACATTTCTACTACTATTTTCAGGAAATTTTATTTGTTAATCTTGGAAAGTATAAAAGTTATATACATATTTTTTTTTATGTTCATGTACTTTTGCAGTTCCTCATGCTCTAGTTGCAAACAAAATTTCATAAAATTCTGTGAGATCACCAATTTACGTACCTGTTACCGTAATCGGGCTTGTATAGTTCGCACTGGTACATAGTCTGCACCCCCTTCTCCCCACGAAATTTCAGGTAAAAAAACTTTTTGTAACTGTTAGAAAAGGTCTAATGAAACTCCGGTAATTTTAAATCGTGTGTGGTCGTTTGCGGTATTTTCTTGGAAAAACCTATTTTCCATCACCAAACTAAAGTTGAAACTGCTTGTAAATGGTTCTAAAACACTTCACGCTGGTTAAAATAAGTCTAAATCACACAAAAAACAATTTAGAAACGTGTGTATGTTTAAACCGGAAGTTTGAAAAGCACGTGTAAAAGATGAAAAAAAACTGGTGAGAGTCGAAATCAGTACATAATAGATATCACTATAAACGACTTTGAAAGTAAAACAGTTCCCTCCTTATGTAAAACAGTGTTTAATATATCTATCACATTAATATTTGAAGGGTCTTAAGCTAATACAAAACATATTTGTCAATAGGAAACACCAACACAGAACGAATAATAACCGATTACGTTTTGTAGTTTACACATCGTAAGCTGGTTTACGGTTGTCTTTTTTTACTTTTTTTGTACGATTTCATTCAAGCAGATACCAGTTTATATTTAGCAATGCATTGAAAAGAAATTGAAAATTTTGTAATGAAGCATTTAATTTTTAAATTTATCAGTATTAATTTGATATTGAATAAAAATAACTTATTAATATGGATTGGGTAAAATTGTTGGTTTGAAAAATGATAATAGCGCCCTCTACAATGTCAATAACAAACATGGCAGAACGTAAACAAACCACATCGCGAAATTGAAATTTTCTCTCTTATATCTTGCTTATTGTACTCTATAGTCCGCACCCCTGCTGTCAGGGTCAATTTTGGAGAATAAAACCGCGGACTATACAAGCCTTTTAACGGTATATACAGGGTAAAACTATTTACGGCCGTGGTATTATATAACAATTTTATGAATTATTATAACATTTTTAAAAGTACAAAAACCTTTTGGCTGGAGACTCTGGTAGTGGTATTCCCAGTAATGCCCTACTAACAATGGAAGTTTTTCATTACAACCCTCTCCACCATCCACCCAAACTAAACTGTCGTCTTTATCTGTCTCAGGAGAACTGGTTACTATGATAATATTTTGCTCCAACATTCTTGCCATGGTAACAACAATCACATGATCTGCCCACTCCATGTTCTTTGACATTGATTCACAATACTCCATAAAATCTCCTTCTAACTCCACAAAATCTTTCAGGTTAACCAGCTCCTCGTTGGCCTATAAAATGTTCCAGGAAAAATGCTTTCAATAAAGTATAGATAAATACAGTTTATATTGAAGTGTTTTACTATTGGAAAAAGATTGCTACACCATAGCCAAATGCCCATCTCCCCCCCCCCCCCCTTCTCACTGTGTAAACAAGGTATAAAGTTGTGTGTTACTATATAGAGTTGTACAACAGGTACATAGATTACATTATAAAGTTATTCAGAGCTTTTATATTTTTTGCTGTTATTCTTGTCATTTCAAGGTAAAAAAAAATTTAAAAAACTACTGAAAAATGGTTGAATCAAAATGAGTGTATAAAATAGACAACTACACATCCTGGCAAAGAATCCTACCAGGTATAAGAGCTTTCATAACTCATGTCGAACTTGTCAATTCAAACTTCTGGTATAGAATAGTCAAGAGAATATGATGACAAATTATCCTCCAATATACAAGCTTTCTGTAACAGTCTCTAAGTGTTATTGAGTTTCATAAAGATGGACAAAGACTAATACTTTAACCCTTGCTGCCCAAGAGGATGGGGACAAAAATCAATATAGTTTAACTCTTCAAGTAAGCTAAAAATTAAAATATGTTTGATTAACTAAATAATATATATTATGAATACATCCTTGTCAAATATTTTATTCACAATGACAAAAAGTCACTAACTACTATTACAATTTTAAACTAGCACCATAAGCTCATTATGACTAGAAATGTTAACTTGAGAAATAACTCAACAAAGACAACAACAATTGGATCAGATTACAATGACACATGACTCACTTTGTAAGTAGGCTTTTCCTTTAAGTAGGTTGTCACTTCTTGTCTTAGACGTTCGGGAGATCTTCTTGGTAACTGAAGTCTTTCTAGCTGTGCAGAAATAGCTTCAAAGAAACAATTACCATTGCCTGGTGTCCTACCAAGGAATTCCATACCATGGAAGTTACAGTACTGCTTCAATCTTTCTTCAACAGCATGCTGCTTAGAGTAGTCAGCTAAAGATTGTTTAATAGCTTTATCGAGATCCTCTGGACTGAAGCATGTTTTAGGCTTACCTATAACAGGTATAAAAGAAATAAGACATGACTATACCACATTTCAATTTTCTTCAGTTTCATACAGTTTTTTTAAGCTGTCACTGAACCATGAAAATAAGGTTAATGACCATAGATATGTCACAGACAGAAACTTTTTTACATAAGGCATCTGTATACAAAGTGTGTAGCAGCAAATCTTCTACTCTCTGAAATTACTGCTATCAAATTAGCATCTCTATGTCTCGCATTTTGAGACTTTCGTCTCAGACAAAGCCTTAACCTGAAAGTGTTGTCATTTCCAACTTTCTCATTCCTATGTTAAGTGAACTCTTTAATCAGAGCCAATATTGAAATTTGGCATATAATTTGAAAAAGTCCACATCCTAATGAACATGTGTACTAAGTTTCAAGTTGGTGTGACCAGACCTTCATAGTAAACTATCTTAACCAAAAAATTTAAGCTGAAAAATATCTTGGCTTTAAAGATTTATTATTTACCTGCTGTTGGTGATGACCTTCCAGTTCTTGTTTCTGATCCAAAATCTAACTTTATACCAAACGTGCCACATAAAGCTGTTAATTCTTGCTCAGCTTTATCTACATCTATCGAAAATACAAAGTTAAATTTACACAATGAGTTCTCTGTTCAGGTTTATAGAAATAGTAGTGAATTACCTTTTGGGTAGGTAAGCTTACTAAAACAAGAACGGAGGTTTTTCATGCTAAGCAGAACCCAACTCTTAATTTAAAGTATAGGAAACCAGGAAGTAGTTTCATGGCTCACACGTTACAACTCATCACTACAAAGTTGCTAAATATGTTCGGTGTTTCTTGTGTGACAAAAAATGTTGTTCAGTCAACTTATTGAAAAATTCAAAGTCTCTGTAAACAGGAAGTAGGTGTCAGACAGATCCTTAAATCCTCAAACCTTACAACTCATCACTACCAATTCACGGACCAAATATAAAGACATTCTGTTCAGTAGTACCTGAGAAAAGTATGACAGAAATATGTTGAACGAATGGACAAACACAGTGAATGCAATATAGCCCCACTCTTAAGAGTCAGGGTATAATATCACTGCTACCTTTAATAACATCTGAGCATCAAGCTATAGCACTGGTTGCAAAAACTGGATATTGTTTGCTTTGAATACAAATACAAGACATTTCATTTGGACCATACCTCATCATGTACATTTCTTGAGAAATTGCTAAGCTCTTTGATAATTTCAAAATGAAAAGGCCAAAATAAAAAAAAATATACTGGTTTCCTGCCTCCTGGTAGAAAATAAACAGGGTAAGCACATAGGTAAAATAATTCACAGATAATTTCATAGGGAAATGTATTGGATTTTCACAGCACTTAACCAAAAATGTTATTAAATGTGTTAGGGACCCATGACAACTTAAGATAGGTAGGCTGGAAAACATAAGTTTAGTTTTTTGGCCCAAGAAATATTTTTGTACATAATTTTCATAAAAACATATGAAATTTGATTTAAAGGTTTGATTTGTATTAAAGGGGGGCTAAATGGTCTATGTTGTTCATCTACAACAACCATTAACCAGTCAACACAGGTTGTCAGTTCGAAATGCAAATGATAGGTGCATTCGACTCCACTTTTAATGGACTTGGATCGGAGATTTTCCTGCCAAAGGTCATAGTTCTCTCCAGGCACTCCAGCTCCCTCCACCAATAAAAACTGGTCACAACTAAACAGCCAATAGTGCTGGAAGTGGCTTTAAACACCAACAATCAATCATGTATTATAGAATTTGAATTTACTAATTGTCATAGGTATTTTTTAGTAACTTTGACCTTGAGCTTAGATATAGTGAACTTAAAATCAAAAGTGATTTTTCTTCTATTATATGTGACCATCTATTTAAGTAAGGTTGCAATCATTTATAAAGTATTTTAATTAGCATTAAAAACAAAGATAACCGAGGCAGTGACACAATGACGGAGTCACAGATCAAACCCTATTAACTGGTGCTGCTTCATAGTGTTGGGTAGAGTATTCAATTAGAGCTTGTTTTTACTCTTATCAACATATTTTTAATTGGAAAAGTTTGCCTGTGTAAGGGAAAACTGTCATGCCAAAAGAAAATCCCCTAAAGCTATTTTTTCCCGAATCATATGAAACATTCTGTAGGTCTGGGTCAGTGTTATCCTATCGGTAGACTTATTAACAGATACAAATTTTTTCTTGAACCTATGACTGTTTGGAAGCCTTGGCTTTAGGTATTACTAACATGACTGTAGGCAATGTTCACATTTCAGTGTATTAATTGCTGCAGTGATCTTGACCTTTGTATCAGTGACCACAAAATCTTTATCAAGTTGCATTACTGAACAATTTTGTTTAAAACTTATTTTATATCTCAGAAGATATTGTCTGGAAACAAAACTTGATTAACCATGTACCAATTATGTCAATCAATTATAAAAGTCATTTACTTACACTACATGTACCAAAATTTCAAGTTGTTTATCATCTTTTTGACAATTAGGTGTTGAACATTATACAGTATCTTAAGAATTTATAACAACTGAATTACCAACCATCAAATATTGTACTTCGAAGGTCTTGTGTGTCTTCATGCGTCCACAAAGGTTCAAACGTCGTCTTTATAGATCTGACCAATTTGGTACATACACTTAAAATATCTTCTTTTATAACTTTCTGCAATTATAAAAAAAAAGTTGGCATTTTATTCAATGCTGAAACAAAGTAACCTTTATGGTTTCTACAAATAATCGTATGAAATAAGTTTGATTGTATCTTTAACAAAAAAAAAGTAAAAATGTGTATGTGTCATGCAAGGGCACCCTTAGTGCAGTAGAAATTACCGGTACTATCTTATTGATATTAAATCTATAGCAGGTAACTATATTCATTGCATGAGTATAGATATCATTCATCTTCATTGCCATTGGTCAAGAATGGTGTAGTCGGAATTGACATGACTTTTATCTATTGGTAGATAGCGCAGCATTGTAATCACAAATGTTGGCTTAATCTGCCAAAGGTGGAGAGGAGGGGACTGGATCTTAACCCTTGGCTAGCGAAGATGAGATATTATTATGTGAATATAAATATTTGAATAATAGGAAAACACGGCTAAGGTAAACAAAGGACAAGGTTCACTTTGAGTAAAAGTGTCAATGGCCTTGAATTTCTACTTTATCACTGAAATATCAATAAACAGGAGTGCACAATACATCTTTTTCAGCATATTGAAATTGTTATAAGATAAAATATTTTGAAGGTTTTTAATCAAGCCATTCAATTGTAGAAAAAGTTGCATTAGGATATATATATCTCCTAAAGCAATATAAATATTGCCTGTAATATTTCCATAAAAGGTCCAATAACTCTGGAACATGCGAACAGAAAATTTTCAAAATTGAAAGTGAGACTACATTCATCAATCCTGAACAACAGTGTAATTTTCAAAATCAAAAGGGTACCTTAACTCTCTTTCACCATTCTAGAAGTTTCAAGTAAATCTCTCAAAGCATACTCAAGTGAGTGTACAACATGTAAAAAATTTACTTAAATCTGACAGTTCTGTAACTCTAGAATGACAAAACAAATCAAAGAGCTGATAGCTTTGAGGGGGGAAGAAAAAACATAAAAAGATAAATTGAATTACAACGAAAGCAGACTACACCATGCCAGCCTACTTTGTGCCATTGTTGCTTTCTAAAAAGTTTCCAAAAAACATTATACTTACACATGTCTTCACCAAAATAGATTTAATTAGACATAAAAATCTCTGAATACTGTTGATTCAAATTAAATTTTCTATAAATCGATACATTGCATCTCAGCATGTTCAACTTTGGGGAAGCAAATATATTAGGAATTGATTAGGGTTCACTTGAAAGCTTTTCTGTCAAAGTAGATAGTTCTCTCTGGGTATTACGGCTTTATTGGTCAATAAAAACTGGTGATCGTGATTTTAGTCAAGTGTCCTGAAACGGGGGTTTAACAGCAACATCAATAAACCAATCATAGTTGTTCAGAGTTACTTGGTTTTTTTTCATTAACATATTTTGAAAAGTGCTAAATATATCCAAAGTAGATTTTGAAAGTTGGCAGGTATTAAAACTCTCCTCATAAGTCTCCTCATAATCTAAAATTTAAGTTACACTAACCCAACAATCAATCATGAACTGTTATCGTTATCATATTTAAAAGTGGTTCAAAATCCTTCATTTACTGATTTTTATGTTTGTTCTCATGTTGTGCTGTTTCACAATTGTCCTTAGTCAGGGGTTGGGTTTTGAGCACTTGTTAACTTTTTAAAAACCTTGTCATATTCTGTATGTGCTTGTCCCAAGTCAGGAACCTGTAATTCTGTGCTGTCAGTCATATTTGTTCTTCATCTATTATTTTTATTCAAAAAATTAAAATATGGCTTTATAAATGTGTTGTCTCTGAAGTGTTTTCTTGATTTACCTTCATCATATGTCCTGGGATGTACTGTATAGTGTGAGCCAAAAAAGACAGGCACTAAATCTGATAATTTTAAAAGGGTATTTATTTCAGGGACTGAACCTAGACTCTTAATCCCTAAAAGGAATTGCTGGTTTTCCCTAGGACTGATGAAATTCCACTGATTGAATATAACTTATAAATAATATACATATGCACTGAACTAGAAAGTAGGAAAAAGTCCAGATCACAAGATTTTCATAGCATCGGTTTTCTACTTGTGAACTGGATATAAAGGTATTACTTCCAATGTACTTCTTTCAAAATTTAATTTAGTAATGTTTTCAATGAATGTTTAAAAAAGCAAGAGCAGCCACCCCAGGGCAAAAATAGTTTACATCTCAGTGTCAGTGATCTGATCAGTCTATTTTCTAATTTCTGCATAGCTTTGGCAATAGGTCTTTAAAGTTTAATCATTGTTAGATAACATGCAACTTCAAACATTTGTCTGGTTTAGATAGAGGAAATAAAAATTGATACAACAACTAAATTGACAAAGACGCTAGAAGCAAGTAAACATTTTTATGAATTTTGGATTGTCCTTGGAGAACGTCATCTTGGCCCCTGAGACAACTTGGCCACTCTATAAATAACGGAAATATAATTATCAACAAAGAGAGAAGTGTCTGCAAAGTTGCTCCAATTGTATGATAATCTTTACCATCTTGGTCTCTTTTTACATTGTTGGAGCTTTCTATTTTAGCGGTAAAAGTTTGATTTTTATAAAAGGGATTGAGTAGTAGTCTGGCCAAATTGTCACTGCACTTTCAAATTTAATCGATGCATGCATTCTACCAAATCTATTTTAAAAACAGTAAAAAGAAAATTTTGAAATAAGTTAGATTGAAGATAAATAAGATGGAATATAAAAATTAACGTCAACAAAACGGGCTATATTAAAACATGAGAATCTAAAAAACTAACGTTAGTGATTGTTTTTTTAGCATAACTGTACATTGTTTCTCTATTTTTGTTTCATAAAATGATGTAGACGCTATTTTACAAACTTGCAACCGATCATGTGTACAAATCAGTGTCGAGAAGAGGCTTGAAAGCTGTAAAGCACAGAACGAGATACGGTTACATTCCTGGAAAGGGCTCAATGATTTTTTTAGAAACAGCCAGCAGTATAGGATTTCAGAAGACTTGAAAGTCTTCTTCCCCCAAATAATACTCAAAATTAAAAGGGAGTTTCCTTAAATCAATTCCAATAACAGAATAAAAGTTTCATGTCAATAAATCTAAGTATACTATAGTAAGTGTGAGATATGTGAAAAATTGGCTTAAATTTGAAGGTTAAAGTCAAGAACTCTGTCTCTGATCTGGAACACAAATTTAAACGAATTATTTTGAAATAGAAAAGAGATATTTTTTTTAACAACCGCAGCAACAGCATAAAGATTGAATTAAATTAATCTGAAAAAAAAGCTGGTGTGGGATATGTAAAAGAATTGCGTTCAATCTCAAAGTTAAAGTTCTGTTACTATGGAATGACGAAAACCAAAAAAAATTCATAATCGAAAAGGGAGCTTTCTTCAATCAATCCTATGCGTGTTAAAATTTCATAAGAATTCATAAGAGCAAATTTGAGTAATCGTACAAAGTGTTGACATACAGACTACAGAGAAACTTAAAAAAAGGCAACAATTTGGTTCTTAAATGGATCAATTTCAAAAGCCTTAATGGTGGGTCAAAACAAATCTCTTCATAAGAGTACAAGTTAGCACAGTTTCGAAGATGATTTTGTGCAATTTTGGACCAAAAAAGGAGAACCTTTATCGTAACCTAGGACCAAAATGATCTGTAACCAAAATATTTAGGCATTGATAAAGACTCTGTCCTTTCAACAGTCAACAATATTGTCAAAAAAGTTAATATTCCTTTAATGTTTATGTATACAAAAGCAAACTGTTACACTGTTGAAATGCAGAAAACTTTTGAGTATGGCCCTTTAACATCTTGATTGTTCCTGTTCCTATTTGTATGCTGGTATATCTCAAGCTTTGATAAACAAATTACAAGAGGCAGAAAACAAAACTTTGCTTTTCAATAAAAGCATGGTCCCAAGTACTAGTATAAAAAGAACTCAGTTATCTGATTATGATTTTTAAATGTTGAAGCTAGAGTGAAACAACCTCATATGAATTATTGGGGAATCAAGGACAATGACCAACAAGAAAACTATAACTTTGTTCTTTTGATATGGATTCAGTAAACTGAGGTAAACTGGAGCATTGATTGTTCTCTTAATACCGGGTACACAAGATTCAATTTCAGATGCATGATTTAATATTATATCTGTGTGGATATGCACACTTGTACTTGTGTAAACAATGTGGTTCTCTTGATTTTGCCTCAAATTTTTTTTTTTACCTTCATATTTAGATACATTTTTGATATATCAAATAATTTTTACTCTATATATTTAGAGGCAAACCAGTCAAACATGAGAACAACTTCAAAACTATTCATTGACGTCCAGTACAAAAAAGTTTATCTGTCATGTGAACAAGAAAATCTCAGCTGTCAACTTATTAACCTTGATTGCAATGAGGGGACATTTAAGTGAGTAGGACTTGTTTCAAAAGTATTAATCCACATACAGGCAAACCTGGGTAAACTAGACCCTCAATAAACCAGTTTCCTGTCCATTCCGGCTGAAAATTGAAGTCCCATTTTTTCCCCTTCAAAGTCTTTATAAAAAATACCCTCTGTACACTGGACCATGCTTATTCGAAATTCCTGTCTAATTATGCAGTCCCAATACTCTTAATTACATTAATTTTAACCTGTGAAAAATGTTTTTTTAATTAATTTAACATGATAACAATATTGATCGATATGCAATCAAAACAAAATTGTTTACAAAAGAGGATTTTGTAGGATAATCAATTAGCAAGGTGTTTAACCATGAAATGACAGTAGTAACTGGTTTTATTAAAACACTATTTTAAAAAGTTTTCATTAAAAGAAACAATTGAATACATCGTCGCCCAATATATATCAGATAGAACTTACATTCAGATTTAACATTGACACAATTTTTAAATTGCAGAGTGAGAAATTTACATTGTGTTTTCGAAAATGCTGGGTTCCCTGTTGTGAACCCTGAAACTGATGACCCTGTTAATGGAGAAGACTCGGATGACGACATTCCAATGTTGTCTGTATGGGCATGGTACATTGAACGACAATGTTTTGATCATGATAAAATTTTGTTTGATAAAATTTTTGCTTTTGTTTATCAATCAGCTATACCAATGAAGGAAATGAACGATGAAAGTAAAAAGAAAATCTTGTTGAATAATTCTAACAATGCGAGGATTCTGATGCAAATAAAATCAACGAATTAAAAGTGAAAGTGAGTCTGACAAGTCAGACACTGATGTTACCAAGACCAATTTGACATACCAGGATATGTAAAAAAAGTTTTAGTTTTTTGAATTCGGAGGACAACTGATTTCTGGAATTTCTCAAACCAATGAATACGATGACTAAAGACAGGATCGTGCGTAGTAAAATTGTGAAAAGGCAGAGAACACTTGTAATGGTCATGTCACAATATTTTTACGCAAAGCATGACTTAACTTTTAACGAACAGATTATTATGGTATATGTTTTTATTAGTTTATAGTTAACAATGAGACAGAACTTTTACATGAAAAATATCTGACGTCACAAGTCAATTACTTCATGCCAATATGGAAACCTGAATAAACCAACCTACTGACCAAACCTGCCCTTTTTCTTAGTCCCATAGCCAGCTGGTTTATACAGGTTTTACTGTATCACTTTTATGAATCAAAACATATGCCTGTGCTAGGTAAAACAACAAGTCAAAAAACTCGCCTAAACTTCTGAATTATGTTAAAATGGCAACTCCACATTTGTTGTCACCTTCAGCCATACACAAGCAGAAAACTCGATGTCCAGAAAACATGACAGTTTTTAAAGCAATGGTCAATTGTAGTATTCAATCAATGTGTTACCAAAGACATAAATAATTAATACCATCAGAGCTTCCAGGTCTGCTACAATCTCTTTTGACACTTCTTGGAACATGTCTTTTCTCTGTGCGTCTATCCCCTTTTCCAAATTCATCTTCATTCTTTGTATAACACCTTTTCCCTCGTCAGCACTGCACTCCTCATAAATTTGTTTCAATCTTGACTACAAGTATACAGAAAGCAGGATGACGGGTTGATCTCAAACATGTCTACAAAAATACAGAAAACCAGAGGCTCCAAGAAGCCTTTAATACCTGGTATTTATGTATAACATTGACTTATGTTTTTGTTAGATAAAAACAAAAGATATTTTAGTTGAAAAGTCAGTAAAAATGTAGAAAATGCCCATTTAAACTTTATTCAAAGAAATTAGGGGTTCTATAAAGAAGTCTGTATCATTAACCTGGCATTTTTGCATAGAATTAATACAATGCAACAAGAACATTTTTGATGATTGGAAACTGGGTGCCCTATATTTTTTTATCATTTTTGCTTAACAGAGTTTTTGTGTATCCATTATCGTATTCTAGCTCCTTGAAATTGGCAAAAAAATTTAAAAAGAGGGTTAAAATTGTGATACAGGTACAATGACTGCTGTGAGTTGCTTGAAGATTTCCTTTATATTGATTTATTTGTGCATCTTGTGTTACTGTAAAAGCTGCCTACCCCCTTTTTTGCAGATATTATGATGTCCATATACCATAAGGAGATGTAGTATGATTGCAAATGAGACAACTAACCAAATGACATAGCTGTCTGCTATGGGTACACTAAAAATTATTTAGAACAGACAATAAAATAGGAGGTTTACAACACTGTTAGATACCTTAGATAAGTTCTAATGAAATTCCATACTGGTTTATGGAGTTGTGGATTAAAGCGAAGGAACGCAATGACCACCATATACTAAACTACTGAAGGAAGGGGTCAATAGGGATTCCATTACAAATTGAGTAATTCTACCTGAATTTTTGGTGAAGACAATCTATGAATCTGTCTTTGACTGTGGTCCACAAAGTCTTTGAGCTCATCAATTCTATTATGTAACTGTAAATAAAAATTATGATATTTCTATCAAAAAAATATCAAAGATATTCAACTAAAAGTTTTGACGTTACAAGATGAAATTCTATCTGATCATTAAACCTTGTTAAATGGACCATTAGGTCAATACTGCTGGTGGTGGATATCAGATCCCCAAGGTATTGTCGGCCATGTAGCTAAATAATGAATTGGCAAAATCTAAATGATACATATTGTATTTGTAAATATCCAGTTCATATGATTAATGAATTGTGTTGAAACTTAAGTTTCAATGCCCTCATGAAAACTTTAACCTACACAGTTTTGGCTGATCTATTGATGCTCACAAAAGTTTTATATTTTTGGCTTTAGAAACTTTGGGTCATGAGAATACCTGATGAAGGTTATTCTAGAAGCACAATTTGTGATGATGAATATATCATTTAAATTTGACATAGAATTAGTAAACACAAGAGGCTTATATATATACAAGAATATATGTCCATAGGACACTATGCAATGCTCTCACTATAGACATGAAATCGGGGACAGAACTATAATTTGACATACAACTTAATATGTTCCAATCATAATGAAAATGGGTGTCACTTTTCAAGTTGATGTGACCTCAAGTTCTTTGTAAATTACCTTAACCTGAAAATGTACTAGTTTCACAATATCACATTTCCATGTTTAATGATCCACGAATTTGGGATTAAAACCTTAATTTTGCATATAATTTAAAAGTTCACATAAAAAATGTCACTACCTCATGTTAGACTATATTTATCAAACACTTTAACCTAATATGGGACAGACTATCTGATGAGTGTCCCTAATTACATTTTGGGAGCCAACGTGAAACTATTATAATTTTTCCTGTATAAATTGAAACAGTACCTTTTGCCAAGCATTGACATTAATTCTTTCCTTGAGCCTTTCAAGCTGTGGTGACGGTATATAATCTTTCACTTTGTCAGACAGTTTGCTTATATAAACTCTTATGGTTTTTTCCAGAATGATTTCATTGTAATTATTTAGTATCTTCCATAAATCTTCACTGAAATTAGAAAAAAACATCATTCAATAAAAAACCTTATGAATTCATTATTTATGCCAGTTTTCAGGCATGAAAATAATTTTATTCCAATTTGTGGATTTTAGTTTTAATTTTTTATTAATTTATTTCTATTTCATTGAAAGGGTTATAATCTAAAATGGAACCACTATCTCTTTTTCTCTGATCTCTGTACTACCTACTATCACAGAAAATTTACTACATTTTGCATGTATGTTTATATTACATAAACTTGCTCAATAGAATCTGCTCCAGTCTGATTTTAAAAAATTTCATCATGAATAAAACTTCATGGGTTAATTTGACAAAGTCATAAAAAAAGCCAATCAAAATGATTGCTTGAGGTTTGAAAGTTTGGTTCTTATACCAAAGATCAAGGTTTAACTAAAAATTGAAAGGGAATGTTTTAAGAATGTTTTGGAATAAATAGAACTACTGGTAACCCTACATATTCTTTATCATCAATTACCAAGGACGAAATTTTACAAAATCACAAATCTGTCCTTCTTTCTTTTTGTATCAACATCAAAGAAAACGAAGAAAATTTACCATCATTATACTGGATACCAAAACTACACAAAACTCCATAAAAAGAACGATACATAGCTGGGTCATCAAAATGTTCGACTAAACATCTTTCTAAAGTACTGACTACTATTCTTTCTACAGTTAAAGATGGGCTTATAAAATATTGTGATGAGATATATTCTACCAGTGGTGTTAACCAGATGTGGATTCTCAAAAATTCGAAAGATCTACTGCTTAATCTTCGATCACAATCTTTGCAATTTTGCAGCAACATAAAAACTTTTGATTTTTCTACGCTTTACACTACTATTCCCCATGCTCAGTTGAAAGATCGACTTCACCATCTCATTAAACAGAGCTTTTTCTATAAAAATGGGAATCGTAGATTCAAATTTCTTGTTTTGGGTTACAATAATTCATATTTTGTGAAAAACCACACTGAATCTACCAGAAAATATACTGAAGATGATATTATCAAAATGCTGGACTTTTTGATCGACAATATATTTGTTGAGTTTGGAGGATTTATATTTCAACAGACAGTCGGTATTCCAATGGGAACTAATTGTGCACCCCTACTGCCCGATTTGTTTTTGTACTCGTATGAAGCAGAATTCATTCAGAACCTTCTAAAAGACAAAAAGAAAAAGCACCTTGCGAAATTCTTTAATTTTACTTTCCGATATATTGATGATGTTCTATCATTGAATAACCCATATTTCAGCCAATACTTACATCTCATATATCCCAGTGAACTTGAAATTAAGGATACTACTGATACTAGAAGGACTGCTTCATACCTTGATCTTTTCCTCAATATTGACACAGATGGACGACTTCACACGAAAATCTATGATAAACGGGACGATTTCAACTTCCCAATTATCAATTTCCCATTTCTCAGCAGTAACATACCCTCTGCCCTTTAGTATGGTGTTTACATATCTCAATTGATACGTTATTCTCGTGCTTGTTCACACTATACGGACTTCATATATAGGAGTGTGCTCCTTACGCAGAAACTGCTCCAACAAAGTTATGAGGAGGACAGATTAAAAACGACACTCCGTAAATTTTACGGACACCATCACCAATTGGTTGATCCATACGATGTGTCTTTGTCAAAACTAACTAAGGACATTTTTACCACATGTTAGATTGTGGTTTGTCATTACGTCGTCTGATCTTTTAATTACCGAACGTGACTTATTCCCGATTGTGACTGTTTTGCTGAGTGTGAAACTTCATTGCTATAAGACGTGTCACGGTACCTTTCTATCCCAAATTCATGTATTTAATTTTCATGTTATATTTGTTGTTCTCGTCGGATTTTGTCAAATGTCTTAACTTATTTTCTGTTATATTCGTGTGTTATGGTATAGATAATTAATCACCCCCTTCATTTATTAGATTTTAGTTTGGTTCAAAGAAATTTATACGATATATTTGGTTTACAGTTTGATTCAGAAGAAACACTGACATAGCTAGATAATACAATTAATCATCTAATTACTACCACAATTTGATATTAATAAGTATTGTAATTTTCATTGTTATTAATAAATGTAATGGCAGTATTACAAATCTATCTTGAATCAATCCTAATCCTATCTTATTTTTGGGAATATTTTACAAATTCATATGTGACGTCACTTTGTGTGTTTTTTTAGAATTTCAAATGTGATGTCACTTTGTGCGTTGAGGCTTTAGCTAACTCGGCTGTGTATTTTTATATGTTGGATTAAGTTGTTTTATGCAATGTATCCGTTTTTATTCTGTAGTTAGTCCCCACTTTGGTTTTATCATGTATATCTATTATATAGTCATTTTATAATATTTACTGTTTGCAAAATTATAAATTATTCTAAATAATAAGGATGTTCTTGTCCCAGGCAGAAAATCCTGGCCGTGTTAGGCGCAACTTTTTGGAAGTTTTGGTCCTCGGTGCTCTTCAGCTTTGTACTTGTTTTGGCTTTCAAACTTTTTTTATCTGAGCGTCACTGGTTAGTCTTGTGTGGACGAGACGCACGTCTGGCGTTTTGAATTTTAAGCCTAGTACTTTCTGCTAGCTATTATTCGTGTGTTTCTTTGTCCTATATGTTCTCCCATTTATTTGTATTGTGGTCCTGTCATGTGATGTTGTCGTTTTGGTGTTGTGTTTGACGTTGCCATAAAAGCGGGAGGTTTGGCATGCCACAAAACCAGGTTCAACCCACCATTTTTTTCTTAAAATGTCCTGTACCAAGTCAGGAAAATGGCCATTGTTATATTATAGTTCGTTTCTGTGTGTGTTACGTTTTAATGTTGTGTTTTTGTTGTGTCGTTGTTCTCCTCTTATATTTGATGCGTTTCCCTCAGTTTTAGTTTGTAACCCGGATTTGTTTTTATCTCTATCGATTTATGAGTTTCGAACAGCGGTATACTACTGTTGCCTTTATTTGTAGGAATGATGAGTACAACTTTGAAGAAGACAATCATTATACTTACTTAAAGAAATCTTTCCACCTTAGTAGAATACTTATGATCAATGGTGAGACTAATTGGTAGTTGAAATTGATTTCTCCAACAGATCTTGATTTATAAACTCCATGTCTGTTGACTGCAGCCTTGTATGTCTGCCATTTGTACAATTCCTCCTGAAATATAAAATAAGGTTAAAGAAAAGATAAAAGACTATATTCTTTCCAAATAGGTTTTTTTTCACACTTATATCACTATTGACTATGCATTGCTACACAGTTATGGACACATATAGTCCAGCATCTTGTAGATACTTTTATTTTGGACAAGAGGTCATGCTTTTCTCAGACTGTTTCTGATTCTTAAAATATTCAATACATGTGATATGTTCTGATTGGTATTTTAGTTTGGGAATACAAATGTACAGGATTTCTTTATTTGTTGTTATTTGTTTGGACTAGATTCCAGTTACCGGGAGTACTCTTAGATTGTTACTTTCGGTCTATTTGTTAATTGTTTTTATGTTTCATGCATTTGTACTCTTGAATTATACTGCAGTCAAACCTGGGTAAACCAGACCCTCAATAAACCAGTTTCCTGTCCTTTCCCCCAGAAAATTGAAGACCCATTTTTTCCCCTTCAAAGTCTTTGTAAAAATACCCCCTGTAAACCAGACCCTGTGTATTCCGAATTCCAGTCTAATTATTCAGTCCCAATACCCTTAATTACATTAATTATTACCCATCAAAACTGGTTTGATTAATTAATTTAACGTGGTAACAGTATTGATCGATATGCAATCATAACATAATTGTTTATACAAGATGATTTTTTTTTAGGATAATCAATTAGCAAGGTGTCAAACTGTGAACTTACAGTAGCGAGCTTTATTATTGAAACATTATTAGTTTTAAATGAAAGAAACTAAAAGAAACGCTGAATATGTATCGGATAGAACTTACGTTGTAACTTTGATAAATTTTTCAAATTGCGGTGTAAGAAATTAACATCGTAATGCTGGGTTCCCTGTTGTAAACCCCGAAACCAATGACCATGATAATGAAGAAGATCCAGATGATGGCATTCCATTGTCGAGTCTATGGGTATGGTACATTGTAAGACAATGTTTCTATCATGATCAAATATCGTTTGTTAAAATTCTTGCTTTTTAATGGGCTATACCAACGTAGGTAAAGATGGATGGAAGTAAAACGAAACTCTTGTTGAACAATTCAAACAACTTGAGGATTCTGATGCAAATAAAAACAATGAACTCAAAGTGAAACTGAAACTGACAAGTCAGAGACTGATGCTACCGAGGTTGATTTGACATACGTGGATATGCAAAATAAAGTAAAAATATTATTTTTTGAATTTGTGGATAACCAATTTCTGGAATTTCTAAAGCCAATGAATACGTAGACTCAAAACAACGATCATGCAAATTAAATAGAGAAAAGGCGGGGAACACTTGTAAGGTTCATGTCACAATATATTCACACAAATCATGACATAACTTTTAATAAATACATTATAATTGTATTTTTATTTATTTTAAGTTTACAATTTACAATGAGACAGAACTTTAACATGAAAAATATCTGACATCACAAGTCAATAACTTCCTGTCAAAATGGAAACATGAATAAACTGAACCACTGTTTAAACTGGCCCTTTTTCATAGTCCCATAGCCGGCCAGATTATACAGGTTTTACTGTACTATAAATTCAGAAATTATTGCAATTTTTTAAGAATGGACAAAAATGCGATATTATTGCGATATCAGCAAACATTGCAAACAGATATATCTATCAGATATCAAAATGAGAGTTTTTATAATTGCAATGCTTACCAAGTCACATTATTTGTATTAATAAAAACCTAGCAATAATTTCTGAATTTACAGTATAAGGTTTAGAAAAATAACAAATTACGACCATCCAAAATTATAGACAGGTTTTTTCCGATTATCTGCCTTGGTTTGTGTAGTAGCGGTCGCCATTACAGTCGTGAAAAAATTATAAACAAGCTACACATCTATTTCCCAGACTCAAAACAACAATCATGCATAGTTAAATGGTGAAAAGGCAAGGAACACTTGTAATGTTCATGTCACAATATTTTCACACAAATCATGACATAATTTTTATTATTACGGTATTTGTATTAAAAATATCTGACATCACAAGTCAATAACTTCCTTTCAAAACGGAAACCTGAATAAACCAAACAACTGTTCAAACTGGCCCTTTTTCATAGTCCCATAGCCGACCAGTTTATACAGGTTTTACTGTACTATAAATTCAGAAATTATTGCAATTTTTGAAGAATGGACAAAAATGCAAAATTGATTATTGCGATTTCAGCAAACATTGCAAACAGATATATCTATCAGATATCAAAATGAGAGTTTTTATAATTGCAATGCTTACTCAGTTGCATTATTTGCAGTAATGTAACCTAGCAATAATTTCTGAATTTACAGTATAAGGTTTAAGAAAAGATAACAAATTATGACCTTCTCAAATTGTCATTACCATCATGAAAAATTTATCAACAAGTTACACATCTATTTCCCAGACCGCTGTTAATTGATTAACGTAAACACAAGAATGCGAAGGCGAACTTGACCTCGGGAAAATTACAAATGCTTTAAATAATAAAGTAATTAGATAAGGAATGGACATTGAAATTATATAAGTGTTTTGCAGGCCAGGTGTCGTGCCCTGAAAACGAAACTGATTCACATTACACCCGTGACATAATATATCGACTAAAGTATACTAATCGCAGGTAACATATCAATTATAATTACTTGGTAATCATAATTGATTATTATAGTAAATAAAAGTACATTGGGCTTGGGTACCTGGTGAGGATTTACAGCCTTGCCGGGTCGAATGTCATATCAGAAACACCAGGTGCAATTTTATCAAATCATAGCAACTTCTGTGGTCACACCTATAATCAGACAGTATTAAAATTCAACATTCCTCAAGTCCGACGTCCCTAATAATCAGACAGTCTTAAAATTTGACATTCCTCAAGTCCAACGTCCCTATAAACTGACAGCCCGTTTCGTCCAACTCTGAAATAAATATACTGTACCTGTACATGTAACGTTTGAATATATTTTTTCAGAGAGACCAAGATTTTTGAGCTTGTGGTTCGATGCACGTATACTGCTCATAATTGAGCGACTTTTTCATCTTATTTTTGTCTCCTCGTTGTGTAATTCACGTATTGATTTTTTCCTCTTCTGAAGTTTTCTACGATTATTTGTTCATTAATTATCTAAAAAAGAATTGTCCCCACCTTTTATTTATAATAACTGACACTATTCATAACAAAATAAATCAGAAAATGAAAGAAATCCAAATGTAAACAAAAAATTGACAATGTTTTGATTATGCACGTCCGTTAATTGTCACGATCATAATGGTGGATCGGTCATGTGAAAGGTTAATGGATGCGCCCATGTTTTCTTTGCTAATTATAGATAAACCTGTCTATAAAACTCCAGAATATCTAAATATATATTGCTATACAATTATGGACACTTATGGACCAGCATCTTGTTATTACTTATATTTTGGCTTTGCACAAGAGGTCATGCATTTTCAGACTGTTTCTGACGTCTTTATATATTCAATGCATTTGATGTGTACTAATTGATATTTTAGTTTGGGAATACATGATTTATTTATTTGTTGCTATTTGCTAGTAATTAACTTTCAGTTACTCAGAGTACTCTTACATTCATACTTTCTGTCTTTTTTGGTTTTTTTGTGTTTCATGTCAATCTGATGAGTCAAGCCCTAAGCAACTGACTTTTACAGTTCGTTCTTATGTTGTGTTGTTCCACCCTCTCTCTCTTTGGTAAGGGCTTGGGTTGAGTCCTCACAAACATGTCAACCCCGCTGTATAAAGCTATAATGCTGTCCTAAGTGATGAGTCTGTAATTCAGTGTTCATTATTTTTTTTTTAATTGTTTCACATTCTGTTATTTTATTTTATAGCTTACGGTACATACTCAATTTAGTTTACAAGTTTTACTCATTGTTGAAGGCGACCTATAGTCAACTTCCTTTAAATGCTTAAATTTTAAATTATATATTCTAACAATAACTACCTCATGGGTAGTCAAGGTCGTTCAAAACCCCCCTCGTCGTTCAAAAGAAATATAAAGTAAAGCTAATGATATATGGCCTTCACATACTGTTAAACATGTGGCTTGTGGGTTTATTCAAAACTATGAACGAAACAATAAGGGGTATGGCTTGGTTTGAATTGACATAGTTCATACTTCAATGGTTTATAAATGCAATGAAAAATTTAAAGTTTAAAGTTTAAAATTATTTTCAGTTAATACTTAACCATGTGAACATGTTTGGGAAACTTTTCAATTTAAAATATAAAAAAAAAAAAATCCTAAATTCTTAAATTCAGCTGTCAGAAAAAAGTTTGTATGCATCATGACCTAATATTTTCTTTTTCCATGCAGGTTATGACCTGCATTTTCATTTTCATAGATTGACAGGTATGGTAATATTTATTTTATGAAATGAGGGATTTTTTTTATAAAAAAAACATAATGTCCATGTTTGGTATTCTTGCCCATTTTCTGCATATGAAAAATGTATCAGTCCCAATCTTAGTCTTGTTATCAAATGACTCTTATGGAAGTATAAAATCTGGATCAGTGCTTTTCCCTTTAGAATGTGTATAATTACTGAGTGACATCAAGGGGCAAGTTTTTTCAAATGTTAATATTAAACCCTGAAATATGGTGTCTGGAAGACATCATAAATTGAAAACTAAGTATGGCAAAACACAGTTTAGTACATCTTCATTCCAGTCCACTGTACAGATAATTTACTACTATAAAGACATATGAACCCAGTCAAATTTAACTGTCAGTCAGAATAATTGAATTCACACAGGAGGTGAAAATAAAACAGCTGTCATTCTACCGTTTTTTTTTTCTCAATAGTTTTACTCACAATTTTAATGCTTGATTCATTGGAATAGAGCCTTTTTGCACTGATGCAAGGTAAATGAATCATCAATCTACAATTGAGAGTAAATATCTTACCCAACTTTTACACACATCAACAGCTGTTTCTTCAGCACTTTTAACACCTTTTGACAGATTATTCTCTGTCTTTGATATCTCTTTTCTTAACTCATATAGGAGTTTTACAGAGGTGTTCTGCAGTTCCTGTTGTAATTCTTCACAAACTTTTTCCACTTCAGCTTTCACAATCTCAGAGTCATCTTTGAACTGAGAAAAATAAATAAATTAGAAATTAAAGAACCTTTGTGAAAACGCACACATACCCCATGCCCCCAAATTGTCACTGGGCAAACAAAATTTCACCAGATTCCTTAATTCAAAGACTCATAACTCCTACAAAAGTCAACTGAAAAATTTCTTGTGGTAATGCACATCTACATATTACGTCCTTATTATCTACAAAGTTTCATAAAACTCTGTTGTGTGGTTTCAGAGGAGTTGCGATGACAAACTGTTGCAGTAGTATATTTATGCAAAAATTCTAAGTTCAAAGTGGCTTAACTCCTAGAAAAAAAATTAATAAGATATTCACATCTACATAGTATGTCCTTGTATTCTACAAAGTTTCATGAAATTCTGTTGTGTGGTATCAAATGAGTTGCGATGACAAGAACCGTTGGAAGGCCTGACAGACAGAAGGGTCAAAAACATTATATCCTACTGAATTTTGTTTTGTGGGGTATAACAAGAAAATTTGATAGCAGAACTTTCAACTTCACATCCACCTACCCAAGGGCATCCAAAGTATTTGTCTTATTATGGACAATTTTTTAAAGCTTAACCCTCAAAATATTTTTGTTTGCGTTAAATAGAAGTTGCTTATCCCATACTGTAATTACTGTGGATTCATTTATATTCTTTGATACCAAATTTCTTGAATTGATTTCATGGTTTTGACTGATTCTGGATTATTTGTACTTCATTAAACACTTGGGATTATGTTTATTTTATGTCACAATGATTCACCCCATTGGTGTCTCATCTATCATTAAAATAAAAAAATTTTTTTAAATGTAATTGTAGTAGTGAAGCCAAATGTGATTTGTGTCTGTAAGTCCCTAAATATTCAGTATAGGATGGCCCTCTAGGGAGGTTTCGAAAACTTTAAAGTTATTGGTAGCATAAATAGGATGTAGCTCAATGCAATTAACTTTGTAAATAGAAGAGTTATTGTTATTTACATGTTTGTGATTACTTCAAAGTTGTATTACATGCTTAAGGTAGACTGTGGTAGGTATCCCTTTAGCTTTGTATATACCTAATTACATTCTTTCAAATCAATTACATTACTCTCCTTATTTTTGTTGAAAACATGGTCATGAATAAAAATATGAAACAGAAATAAATGTTTGCGTGTCGCACAGGAATATACACTTTTATTTTTGCCAATGAAATGTCTTTTTATTCTACATATCTAAAGGGAGCCTCGAGTTGTAGTTGTAAGTAGTTGGACTAATGTATCACTAGCCTGTCAACACTGAGGTTGTGAGATCAAATTCCACATGTGGCAGGTGCACTTGACTCCAATCTTGATTGACTAGGATTGTCAGCTTTCCTACTTAACGTCAGTAGTTCTCTCCGGGCACTTTGGCTTCCTCCACTAATAAAAACTAACCCTCATGAAATAGCACAATAGTGCTGAAAGTGGCGTTAAACAACAATCAATCAATCAATTCATATCTAAAGTCCTATCAACTCTTAAAGCCTATTACCTCAACATCATTTTCCGTCAGGTAATTTTTTATTTCATTTAAAAAGAAAGCTAAATTAAACATCAAATATTCCGTAGCAGCCTGTTTCTTTCTTTCTACCATCTCTTTAATCCATTTTCTTAATTTTGGTATTTCTGTATCTTCTACATTGTCAAAAACCTGAAAGAAAAATTGCTTACCATTTATACAAAACATTTTTGTGTTTATGTCTATAAACCATTGTTATCTTGCATATACATACATTGCTCTGGGTGCTGAGGTTATGTATCTGTAGACATCAAATTGATGTACCTTATAGATAGAATAGAATAGAGAATGGAAAAGGGGAATGTGTCAAAGAGACAACAACCTGACCAAAGAGCAGGAAACAGCCCAAGGCCACCAATGGGTCTTCAACAGAGCAAGAAAATCCCACATCAAGAGGCCTGCTCCAGCTGGCCCCTATACAATTATGTATACTAGTTCAGCAAAAAGGATGCCACACTAAACTCTGAAACATAATCAAAGCATCGTTGAAATTGTGATCCAGCCAATTTTATAGCTAGTATGATATTTTTTCTGACTATACTTCTTAAAATATTTTTTTTTGCTCTTTTCATTTCCATAATCTTACTGTAAAATTTCTATGCTATTGCCCAAAGATGGAGAATTTAGCAATATTGATGCAAATATCTTTTTTGATATATCAATTTTATACACTGTCAGATTTTTTAACATCTTTTTTTTATAAATATTTGCAATTCAATGATTTTGAGAAGAATAGAAAGGGAAATCGTCAAACAAGAAGTATATTTTTTACATGCCATTAATAATAATTGGCATAATCATGATAATAATTTCCAGAAAGAGGCATTAGAAATGCACTTTCTCAACAACAAAAATTAAAAAAATAATTAACAGTGTTATTAATTTTTATCTAAATTGTTCATTCTTCATTTAGAAAAAAATACATTTCCTGTATTCAAATATAACTGTACAAATTAATACCTAATGCTGAGATATTTCCAATTACTGTTAAATAGCAATATAATGGTATCAATAGAGAATAAACAAATAAATTTTATTGCAGAAAATGCTAAGGTAAGAGTTATACAATTTTGTTTATTGTTTAAACCCAATTACTGATAATTGTTTATTACTTAGAACTTGATTATTGACCTATGTCAGATGATAATTATAATGACACTGATTTTATAAGTGAAATAAAATCTGCTTGATTTATGAAAAAAAACCAACATCTGATTAATCATTCAGCTTTCACACAAAAATGACAGAATAATTTAATGTAGTGAAGATCAAAATAAATAATACTTTTGTAGGTTTACTATTGAGGTCAAGAATTTGTGTATTCAGTTAGGTGTGTAATAAATAGTGTCTATTTAATTATGTAACAGGTCATGAGATATTAACTGTGGTGAATTAGGATTGGAGTTGATTCAATTAATACTAACACCTAATTGAGTGTAATTGTTTGAAAATCATGACAGTTGATAATCATACTGACTCTTACTTGCCTAAGGAAAGAATTAGAGTGATAGCATTTCAAAAAAGTGTGGGAATCAACTTATATCAATACACACTTAACCCAAATTTTATTCAGTAACTTACACAAGCAAAAGATACTATAAAATACTTTCAAAATTCTTATCAACTGATTAAATTGATGAAAATTACTTTTTCACATTAATTCATAAATAGCAAATCATTATAAATTTTGATTTACAAAGTAACTATATGCAAGTGTATATCTAAAATGAAAGAGTTGTTCGACCAATCTTTTCTTAATTTAAGGGCAAATAACATGTCAAAATGTGGCAGTTGATGATTAAAATGGTGTATAAAGTTTCTGCAAGTCATAGAAACACATATTTTCATGATATGTCTTCAACTTAGAATTTTGCACCATCTCCAAATCCGGGGTGATCGCATAGATCCAGCATGGCTGAAAAATAAACAAAAATTGAAAAACACACAAGACTAACAAAGGCTAGAAGTTCCTGACTTAGGACAGACCGTTAGATCTCAACCCTCCCCCTATACCTCTATCCAAAGTAGTTTACCTACTGCCTATAGTATCCAAGAAACAGAACAAACCATGAAAACTTAATATTGACTAACAATGAAAATGAGGTCAAGGTCAGATGAACACTGTCTGATAGACATGTAGACCTTGCAAGGATCTCCCACATATCAAAAACACTTATCCTTTTAATCATAAGTGAGAAATTAACATGTCAAAAATACTATACACAACCTTTTAGGCAGTCGCTGAAACATGAAAAATAAGGTGTTTACATATATCAGATGGAAACTTCCAAACATAAGGCATCTATATACACGTATAAGGTATGAAGAATGCAGGTCTTCTACCTTCTGAAATATAAAGCTTTATATATTGTTAAATGATGTAGGAATGTAAATAGACCAATACTGGGTAAGACCTGCGTTGCTGCATGCAATTCATTTTGGCAATTGATTGAGGTAATATGTATACTGAAGCATAACTGATCATTCCCTTTTATAGAGCCAAGAAAACTTTTTCCTTGTACAATTTATAGTATTGTAAAATTTCAAACTACATTTGTATTGGCAAAAAGGAAGTAGCTTCATGACCGATGTAAGAATTGCTACAACTCAACCTTTTCAAACAGCATACCAAATATTAAATCATTCCCTTCAATAGAAGAGAAAACTTTGACAAAAATTTTCCTTGTACAATAAGTGTTGTAAAATTTCAAACTATAGGCAAACAGGAAGTGGCCAAATGGCAGATGTAAAAATTGCTTACTTGATACAGCTCAACATTATCAAGCTGCAGACCAAATATTAAATCATTCCCTTCAATATGAGCCGAGAAAACTTTGACAAAAATTTTCCTTGTACAGTAAGTGTTCTAAAATTTCACACAATCACAAAACAGGAAGTTGCTTTGTGGCAGATGTAATCAAAGCACAATAGCGCTGTAAAAAGCATTTGCTGTATACTATATAGAAATATACATGCGTGAAAGTGTCCATTCTTTTAGAACAAGTACAAGATTAGCTCCATTATCACAAGTCACGAATTAATTTCATACCAAATATTCTCCAATAAAACAATTATCAGTTATGTTAAAACATTTTTATCATTATAAAATATAAAATACAATTATCTACTGACACTTGATAATCAAAAGAAACATGGAATCATAATAAAATAATTAATAAAAAAAAATGTATACAAGCTCCTGAGAGACATTCCGAGACAACCATCACAACTCTGCATAAGTGATTTTGACCCAAAAGTGTTAATTTATGTTTAAACAGAGACGAAAACAATGGACAATCTAATATAATATGTTTTATAAAAAAAAAAACTAGGATTGAAATGTTAAATGTCATCATTTTCATTATTATTTCACTAAAAATTACCAGTGTTATTTTTCCTTTTTAAAATCACCCCTTTCAGCTCATGGAATTCTCAGAAAAAAAAATGTGTTGCTTCTAAGGTTCTGATGACAATCAAAGTGATGGAAATCACTAAGAGTAATGTGCATAATTTCAAATCATATTCTCAGGTAATGTGGTGAACAAATATATATATTACCACTCTTGCATTAAATTCAGAAAGATAATTGGATTTTTTTCCAACTGATAAAACAAGCTTGTCTCTCTAAATTTACTTGTAAAGGGTTGCTTTTGTGAGTATTTCTATTTTCAAACATTAGGTATGCAATTTTCTATCTAAACTAAGGATCATTTACTGATTTTTGTTAAAAAGCATATGACACTGAAGATGAATTGTTTTATTTCATTTTCATAATCTTACTCAAAAATTGTATTCAATTGCCCAAAGATGGAGAAATTTTCAATTCTGATACAAATTGTTTTGATATTTCAATTTTTAGAAGGGGTACTGATTTTATATCTTCTTTTTTTCAATTAAATAATTTTTGACATGATTGGAAATAGAAATCTTCAAAAGAAGGTGTAGAATATTTTTTTCTTGAGATTTCCAGAAAGATTCATTGAAAATGCACTTTTTCAACACCAATAATTAAATTAAAAGCTATTTTTCATTTAAATTGGTGTTCATTCTTCAATGAGAGAAAATAATTTCCTGTATTCAAATTTACATGTACAAATAAAGGCAATAGTAGTATACCGCTGTTCAATAGTCATAAATCGATTTAACTGAAACAAATCCGGGTCACAAACCAAAACTGAGGGAAACACATCAACTATAAGAGGAAACAAAACGAAACAACAGAAACACTGAACTGCTACAAAAACTAACACCAACATACATAGAAACAGACTATGTGATAACAACTGCCATATTCTTGATTTGGTACAGGACATTTTAAGAAAAAATAGTGGGTTGAACCTGGTTTTATGGTTAGCCAAACCTCCCGCTTATATGGCAATGTTAAAAATACAGCTAAAATGACATATATCATGACAGTAATACAGTACAAATAAATGCAAGAACATTCAGGACAGAGGAATACATAAATAAATAATATGATAGTACATAGAGTTATGCAATTTTGTTTACTGTTTCAAGCAAATTTGAAAATAATTGTAACTTAACTTAACCTAAATTATTGACTAATATCAGATGCGATTATAACACTTGTTTTACAAGTAAAATTGACTTCCTTTTTTTATACATAATTTGTTTTTTGTCTTGTCTTTGCAGAAAAATACATCTTTTTAATCCTTTATCATTTATCTATGAGACATAATTTATGCAATAATTTAATGAAGTGTAGATCAAAAGTGATTGAATACACCAATAATTGTGTGGAGGTCAATAATTGTGTAATCCATAATGTAATACAAGATATGTTAACTGTGGTCAATTCAGATTGGCATTAAAGTGGAGGTGATCCAATTAGTGTAATTGTTTGTAAAATGTGACATTTGTCTATTATACTGTATTGTATCCTTACTCTTACCTGACTAAGGAAAGAAATGGGATAATACTATTTCAAACCAGAGGCTCTAAAGAGCTTGTGTTGCTCACCTAGGTCAATGTGAATCTTCAACAATGGACACTCTCCTACATTGTGGACTAGAATAGAATTCATGACAAGGATCTCTATTATGTGATCTTTTATTGCTGATATTTTTTCTGTTTACAGTTTTTCTCTATCTTCTTCAGTTTTTGTCAAAAAC